GAAGAAAATAAATTCATGACAAGGGTTTTGTTGTGCCGGAACCTACAGCTTCTTCCTGATTAATTCTAGAGTCCTGCCCTTGCAGGAGATGCTCCCCTCCACTAGAAAGCTCCCCCAGCCCCACTCCCGAACCCCTGCCCCAGACCCCAACCTCCCTGCTTCTCCCTCACCCACCCGGCTTCAGTGGCTCCTTCCTGGTAAGGCAGATGGCACTGTAGCACCTGCTGCCTGGGATGTTCTCCCTGGCCTTGGTAGGTAATCCCGGGTCCTTGGCACCTCCTTAAAGCCTGTCAGGAACTCTCCACCCCGCCGGAGTTCTGGCTCCTCTTCTCATCCGGCCTCTCCCATTCCCAATCCATTCAGCATCTCGCTTCCATCCTCCCGGGAGCATTTCAAATACTCCCGAATAAACGACTTCTGGCGAGTAGAGGCCGACATCCCCCCACCTCCCCACTCCCCAGGGGGCTGCCGGGTTGTGCCACAGGGTCCAGCCCCTTGGCAACAGAGAGTAGTCCTTAGGAACCAGAGCCGGGGCGCTCGCTCAGGCCTGACCCCGCCTGCCGCTCCAGTGGCGTGGGCGCGGCCAGTGAACAGCTCCACGTTCGCTCCGCCTCTTGGACAAAGAGGCCAATGGCTAGTCTGGGTCCGCTTTTGAAAAAGAGCGGGATTCCAGAGGCGGGAGAGAGTACTTCCGCTGAAGCTGCAGCCTGCAGATAAAGGTTTGGGCTGGGAACGCCGGCTCATCTTCCGTTAGTTAAGCCTTCAGCTTTGGGGCAGAATTGAAATTTGAGGCGGACTGTTGGCGGTGGAATAATGCAGAAAAACCTCAAGCTGACGGTCAGCAGATGAGACATTTGTGCACCTGCGTTCTTCCCAACCGGCTAATGGGAGGGCGGTTCACATGCCAGCTGTCTGTAGTTCTCCTCAGAGGACTTAAAACTGAGCCAAAGAGAAAGGATGAAAGGGTTTCCCTAGCGGTGCGCTACTGTGAAAAACTGGTGTCTGCGAATCCCGTCATTCATGAAAATGCTTCCTAAGATTAACTTCTCTGTCCCCTCCTGAATGCTGTGTGCAGCAAATATTCACCAATACTTTTTTTTTTGGGGGGGGGGTCGCTCTAGCTCCAACTGGCCTTGATCTCACAGAGATCCTCTTATCTCTGCCTCTGGACTGCAGAGAAAAAAGGTGAACACCACCACGCCCGCCAAATTTTTGCACTTTTTAAATCTATTAGATTCACGTCAGAGAAAGCAAAATTTAAATAAGATCAAATCCTTATTATAGAATATCTGATTTCAACTAAATAGTGATTTGTCATTCAAGAATCAGGATGGGGTTAAAGGTGTGCACCACCACGGCAGGCCCAATACATTTTCTTTAGTGTGTTTCTTTCCAGTAGAAACACGGAGTTAGTGACAAACACTGATCTTTCTCAGGTATGTCTGCCATTTTGCAGAGGGAAGCTGTGTACATGTGCACACTGGATATTACGTTAACCTGACTTGTTTGCCCACTTTTTCCATCAGCATAAGTTTATATCCCAGGATTGTTCTTCCAAGGGCTAGAAAGTTGCAGTTGTCTATTATTTATTCCTGTAGTTTCCTCAAAGATCCAACTGCTCGTCATAGAAAATATCAGCAAATGGTTTACACCTGAAGTTTTTCTTTTTTTTTTTTTTTCAACCCTGACCTCAAAGCCTGAAGTCTGGTATATCCACCAATCCTAACTTGTTACCAATTCTAACCAATCCTTCACATTAAAGACTGACTTAAACAGGACTTCAGAATCCAAATTTCTACACTTTCTCTCTGCTCAGCCTTTTCAATGTGTGTGTGTGTGTGTGTGTGTGTGTGTAGGTAGGTAGGTAGGTAGGTAGGTAGATTAAAGGACAGCTTTCAGGACTTCTCTCTTTAACATGTGGGTCCCAGGGATTGAACTCCAGTCACCAGGCTTGGTGGCAGCACCCTGACCCACTGAGTCATCTCACCCTACTATAAGCTTTGCTTTGTTTTATTGGCAGGTTTCGGAGAGCCCACAGTTGACATTATCCACCTCCAACTGAGAACCTGTCCACTGCAACTGCTGTGAGATCCTTTCAGCCTCCTCTGTAGGAGCTTGCTACCCCAGAGGTGAGAAAAGAGATGTCCCATTAGTTTTCTTTGTTTTTTGTTGTTTGTTTGTTTTTAGTTTCCTTTTGTGGTGCTCACAAATACAGAGTTAACTTGATTACTAGGGGTAAAGAAACCTTTCAAGGAGTCCTTTTGACTCCATGATCAGAGTTTGAAAAGCTTTTATGTTTGGGGAAAAAAAGTACCAGCCACACTGTAATTTGTCTCTGTCCTTATTTTTGTTGTATTTGTGTAAAACCAGTTCACAGAAAAGAGACATGAACTCTGAGGTGTCTGGATCCCAGGCTTGCCTTGTGAATGATGTCATTCACACATGTATTATAGATTTGCAAGCCTATTTAAAAGGCAAATCAGGTGGAATTCTTCACTCTGGAGCTACTAGAGGCCCTGTAACAGTCTATTCTTCCCTCTTCCACAGTTGCCCAAAGAAGGAAAGAACTAAGGGAATAGAAGATAGCCTCAGGTGGATGGAAGGCAGAGAGAGGCCTGGCAGGGTTGGAAGTGAAAGAAAACACACACTTAAATGTCATGATGAAGCTCATGATTTTTTGTGTTGCAATAAAAAGGAATAAAATGGATAAAAGAAAAAAACAAACAAACAACTAAACACACCAATTGGCCAGCGAAACAGTAGTTACCTAAGTTGGGACACATTTTCAAACCCTGTTTTCAATGCTTCCTTTCTTGCCCAATCCTAGCTAACTTGGGTGCATTCTTATTGTTGAACTCGCTGTGTTGAATAAGGGAATTGTGGAGGCTTCCTGCAGTAAGAGCAGACCCACCTGGGTAGTAAATTCGAGCATAACAGGTGCTGTGAATGAGGGGATGTGGCAGGTATGTGAGCATGTTGAGCCGGTGATGCTCTGCAGGGTGAGTCCAGAGTTGGGTTCACTGGAATCTCTGGGACTGCAAAGTCCTTAAGGCTGGAGGCAAAAATGCCATCATCTGAAGGACCCAGAAAGCCCATGTTTATTTTAAGTGACTTTCCCCACCGTGTGCTAGAGCTAATGACATGGTGGTGTAGCAGGAGGCTTAGATTGGCTGCGGTATTTACCCCTGAAAACCTTTCTGAAAATTAAGTGGTATAGGACATGCCATGTGGCTATCCAGAAAGAAAGAGAGTGACCTAAGAGAGGGCAGAAGTGGAGGAGGGAGAGAGGGAGGGGGAGGAAGGGAGGGAGGGAGGAAGGGAGCAAGAAGCAGGGAGAGAGGGTGAGAAAAAGGATGGGAAAAGGAAGAAGGAGGAGAGAAAAAGAGGGAGGAGAGGAAGGAGTAAAAGGAACTCCAGGAAACTGTCAAAGGGCTGGAGGAAAGCAAGTCCTTCAGGTCAGTGGCATCTTGGCTTCACTATAAAAAGAATTGGTCTAGGATAGTTACAAGCACTGTACATTTTAATATAACAAAATTTGGTGTTGTGGTGGTTTGAATGAAAATATCCCCTATAGGCTCCAAGTATTTGGACATTTTGTCCCCAGGTGGTGGTGCTGGGGAGGTCTTAGATGGTGTGGCTATCCTGGAGGAAGCACGTCATTGGGGGTGGGCTTAGATGGTTCTTAAGCTTTGCAGGATCTCCAGTCACTCTCTTGTTTCCTGTGCCTGTGTGATGATGTGGGGAGCTTAGCTTCCGCTGCTCCTGCTCCAGCCACCTCTGCCATCATGCCTCCCTGCCATGACAGACTGTAATTCCCTGGAACCATAAGCTCAAATAAACACTTCCTTCTATAAATTGCTTTGGTCAGTGTTTCTATGACAGCAACAGAAAAGTAACTAATGCAGGTATGAATAGTGAAAATGATGTGCTGGGGTCGGTATGGAGGGCTTTCTTAACATGTTGGCATTTTCTACTGTAATTGCCTAAGTACGTGAACTAAAAAATTCATATTTATTCTCGCTATCTTTATTTTTTATATGGGTCCATAGTATGTGCCATCAGCTGACACAGGAGAACTCCCAAGTTGTTTTTCTGGTTAAGCAATAACTTTCTGCCTTTACAGACCATACATCAGAGTTCCAGTTCCTCAATTACTCACCTAATTTCATTTTCCCACATCTCTACAGTTGAGTGAATGAGAGTTCCTGTGTTTAGGTATTGATATTGATAACAGTAGTAGCAGTGATGTTTACTGAGCAGCAACCTATCACTTGTGGGTGACTGTCCTGAATACTTTATCTGCATTTTATAAGACTTCACCTGCATTTTATCTGTGTGTGTGTATAAATAAATCTAAATATTTTTTTAGAATTTCATACATGAATATTGAATTTACATCATTTACATTATTTCCACCCTTCCCTCTCCTCCCTCCAATTCCTCCCATGATATTCCTCCTGACTCCTTCGCAAATTTATGATTTCTTCTTTAATTATATCTATATGTATAGCTATAATTACATCTTTATCTCTATATATCTATCTACACATCTATCTACACACACACACACACACACACACACATATATATATATATATATATATATATAGAGAGAGAGAGAGAGAGAGAGAGAGAGAGTGAGAGAACCTGATGAGTACATTTAATGTTGCTTGAATGTACATGTGTTTACGGCTGACCACTTGGGACTGGAAAACCTATCAGGGAGCTCACCTCTGGAGAAAACAGCTTTTTCCTTTTTCAGCACCCACTGATTGCCTGTAGCTCTTCATGTAGGCATGGGGCCTTCTGAAATTTCCCCCATCTACTTTAGCATGTCAACTGGTATTGCCATTTTACAGGTCTTATTTAGTAAACTATCCTGTTGACATTTCATGGGTGCAGCTTCCCTGTCACATCTAGAAGGCACTATCTCACAGCAGGCATCCTGGTCCTCTGGCTCTCACAATCTTTCTGCACCCTCTTCTGTGATGTTTTCTGAGCCTTGCTTTGTAGATGTAACACTTTTCAGTCTTCTCTGCATTTTGACAGATTGTGAGTTTCTGTAGTGGTTTCCATCTGCTACAAACAGAAGCTTCTTTGATGAGGGGTGAGACTATACTTATCTATGGGTATGAGGAAAAACTACAGGGCTGGTAGGGTTTTTATTGGGGAGGCTGGGAAAACAAAGGTAAAGGGAAGAAGGAGAGATAACACTAAGGACATTTGAAAAAGCCACAAGGAAACATTATTTTATAAAATTACTGCAATCTATATAATTTTATCTCCACAAAGTTTGGTTCTATCTCTCCTTTTATGGTGGAGAAAAGGAAGCTGAAACTAGTTAAGTAATATGCCCAAGGTCATGCAGCTAGTATATGGAAAACTGACAGTTGAGCCCCGACAGTTTATAAGCACTAACATTGATGTAGCACATTTTCATATCAATTCATTATCTCATTTAGAATTATTGTTTCTTGTCACATGCAGGAAACTAATATTCAGAGAGGCTAACTAAGTTTCCTTAGTGTCTTGCTCCATGATGGAGGAGTTAAGACAAGCAGTCTCTAGATGGTTTTCCTTCAACTTAGTGTATCACTTAACAATGCGAAGAAGCCATCCAGGGATGACCATGCTACAGAGAACTTCTCTGCTCTTTTCAACAAGCTGGTAACTTCTAGAACAAAAGAGTGTTAAAATATATAATTAAGTCAGGTGTGCTGGAATCAGCACTAAGAAGTGTAAGGCAGGAGGATAGCCATTTTGAGGCCAACCTGGTCTACATAGCAAGACTTTTCTTTAAAAAAATGTAAAGGTGATGTCTGTTCTTGACTTCTATTTTAATGTGAATAAATTGGCATTGTGGTGATATGAGAAAAAAGTCCTTGATTTTTAGAGATAGAAAGTGTCTTGACGTTAACACATCAAAATATCTCTAACTGTAATCCAGTTGTTTAAAAGACAGTGTAGGGCTGGGGATGTAGCTCAGTTGGAACAGTGATTGCTCATCATGTGCTAAGTCCTGGATTTCATCCCCAGCGTGACATAAACAAGATTTGGTAGCACACAGCTGTCATCCAGGAGTATCAGAAGTTCAAGGTCCCAGATCAACATGAGTTATATGAGACTACATCTCAGAAAAGTAAAATATGTAAATTTGCAAGAAGGGACAATTATTAGCTACATGATAGATATTTGAAAGTGTACTATCCATTCTCCCCTGCCTCCCACCTCTTTCTTGTCTTTTCTATTAAAAAAAATGTTCTCTACTAAAGATGCTATGTACTTGGGTCATAGACTGCGACGGGCCAGCCCAGACCAGAGCACTCAGTCTGACGGGAACAGGAGATCGGAGAGTGGGCAAGGATTCAGCTAGTGACAAACAGACACAACACAAGAGATGGTTGATGATCTGAATGTAATTTTCTAAATTGGAGCATCAGATTTTATACAAGTTACAGAACAGGATTGTGCAAGCATCAGGTTGATTTCATGGTTAATCATTTTCTTAGAAATACAATTCAAAATCAAAGCAATACAGTACAGTGTACAGTGTTTTTATCTAATTAATCAGAGGCTATACTGCTTGTCCTTTTTCCCTCAGTGGTTTGGCAACACCAGCTACTTATGAACTTCATGGTTAGTAGTTTTATGGTTTCGTTTTCTCGATACTATCTTAATTTTGAGGTTTCGGTGGCCGAGGCCAATGACTAGGTCAGTGAAGTTGTGAAATAGCATCTTCCCTTTAATAACTCCGTATAACTTCAAAGGCTTGTTTTTCTAATTCATATTTCCCTATTCTTTCTTTCCATGTTTCTTATACTCCCTGTAATTGTTTAAGTATACTTTGCTGCTGACTTATAAAGGCACCAAGGTAGTCTGGACCTAGCTAAGCTATCCATAAACTATAGTGAATACCATGAAACTTCCCTTCCTTGAATATTTGCCTATGTATTATTTCTATCATAAACTCCTGAATGAGAAAGTGGTTCATCAGTGGGCTCGGGGATTCTAAATACGCTCTCCTTTCCCTTAAGGGGATGCCATAGCCTACCTCTCCCTAGCTCGTAGGCAGTTTCAAAGTCGATCTTAACTGTAGGCAGAAAACTTCTTTTAGTATCCCTTTGATCTC